CTTATTATCACAAAACCCTCTTTTCAATCATTAATATAAAACTAAGCCACTTAAAACTCAATTTAAATTTTACCCTTTTGTAAACTTAGATTAGTCTCTCAAATAGTATTATTTTTAATTTCTAAAATTTAATTAACTAATTCATCATTATCAATAAAATATCTAATATAATTAAAATATTTATCCTAAATTATATATCATAAGACAAATTTAAGTTTTTAAATATTAATCTTACAAACTACTGAAAGTATAATTTATAAATTCTTAAATGATTTTATAAATAAGCTTTAAATATTTGTATAATTTTATTTTAAGTCTTTAAAGTTAATTATTTTTTATTTTAGTTCCTAAATAAATGCTGTTATTATCATAGCTTAAAATAATTATCATAATTATGACTATAACTTTAAATATTTGTGTTTATATATATATATATATATATATATATATATATATATATATATATATAATTATATATATAAGAAAAATCAAACAACATACTTTCTAATATGATATTTGATATTAATTACAATTTATTATAAATTACAACATTAGGTTTTGTATTATTTATTGTAATCAATAACATCATATTTATTTTAATGGAATTGATCTATAATAATACGTATATTGAAACTAGTGGGACTTTATTGCAAATACTTATTTAAATATTAATTTCCTTTTCTTTTCATGGTATACTTGTATTTTTTTTAGTATTAATTAGTTTAAAGACGAAAGAAAGACGATGATATGATAGAAAATTAAATTTAATTATAAAATATTAAAATTAGAAAATTGATTAGAAATGACAAACAAATTAGTTTGTTTTATTTTGTCATGTCTTATTATTAATTCGTACAAAATTAGATATGATGGATTAATTTAGTATAAAAAGGATAAACTTAAATATCTTAATTATCCTATCAAATAATGGATTAACTAATCCTTAAAATTTTGTATATATAAAATTTTATATGTATTTTTTATTTAAACATATCTTCAATTATATAAATAATTTTTAAGTTTTTATGTATCAGTTAAATTAAAATAATTATATATTAAAATATTTAATTATAATTAATAATTTAAGTTTAATAAATTAATATTTATAATTTAAATTATAATATTATAATATATTTAAATATTTTAATAATATAATAAAATATTTTTAATTATAATATTTATTATTTTAATATTAATATATAAATATTTTTTAAAAACGAGTTATCTTGTCTCATTTTTATTTTCGAATTGATAAACTAAATGGGATGAACCAAATCGAATTAATAGACTATAATTATTTACTTATTTCATTTAAATTTAAAGTATTCTAAAAAATTAAATCACCAAAACTAACTCATTAACCCATTTTATTTATCAGAAATCAATAAACATCTCTTAAAAAGTATAAATGGTAGAACAGTGACCTTTTTTACTCAATATTTTGGGTATTAAAAGTTTTTTGGATATTTAATACAAAAATAATTTTTTATATAAAACCAAGGTTACATTTTTTTCTAAAAATATTAAGTTTTTACTCTTATGAAATTACTCGGAATTTTTTATAGTACAAGACACGATTTTTCAATTTTGTTTAATTTATGTGCACAAGGGACACAACTTTTTAATTATTTATATATATATATATATATATATATATATATAATTTTATATTCTAAATTTAATCATTATTGCTTATTTATATATTTATCGGTTTTATTTTTTTATAAATATTACATATTAATTAAATAAATTTTTATATTATTATTTATTAATAATTGTATTAATTGATGAAAATATTTCTACGGTTAAGTGTAAATAACCCGAGAGATGATTTGTCAAAGTCTTTACATTCTTATTTATATGATTGATTTCTGAGTAAAAGGAAGCGAAAGTGTGTGCATGCACTTGAATGAAACAAGACATTATTAATTTTGGTTAAAATGTTATTTTTTTCACTTTGACAGTGACGTTTTGTGGCTTGCATGCACCCGATGAACTAAAATATTTTTTCTTTTTTATGAATATTTATTTTTACATTGATAATGATGTTTGTACTTGCATCACTTTTTGAAATAAATAATTAAAAAAAAAACTGAAGAGTACGTAATGTAAAATAAATAAATAAAATCACGCAAGAATTTTGTTAAGTTTATATTTATATATATATATATATATATATATATATATAAAGAAATTTCATGATAATAAATCTATATTTAAAATAGTTCCGTGACTTTATTAAAATATATTAGGCGTTATTTTTCTCTATGAACATATTTTATAGATTTTAATGATAGATTAATTTGATTTGATTGAGAGGAAATAATATTTATCCAAATTACTTTAAACCTCTAGAAATATATGTTAATAATAATTTATATATAAATATATAATCATTATATTTTAGATTACAACAAATAAATTAATAATTTAAAATAAAACAATAATTTAAATATTTTATAAAATACTAATATATATATATATATATATATTATGTTATAATTATATAATTTAATATTAATATAGACATTAAATTCAAATATTAAAATTTTATATTTGTCATAATACAATTTTCCTAGGGGCCTAACACAAATATATTTAAGTTAATATAAACATTTTTTATGTGATATAGTAAATTCTTATATCTTATCAAAATATAACTTTTTTTAACAAAATGAAATAGATTGAAGATATTTCTTACAAAATCTATAATTCAATGTCTGCAGACATCACCTTACGAAATATTCCTTTGATACCTACCATATACTAACACATCAATTACACTTTCTCATCAAACAACCTAAAATATTTCAACACTCTATATGCATTATACATTTAATTGCAGCTTAAAGAATAAATTTCATTATTAAATAGAAGAAAGATAACATTGAAGTAATTTTGATCAATGATTCTCTCATCTTCGATTGAACGATGTTTCATCTTGTTTTCTCATTCTTTTTTTAAATATTTTTACATCAGCAAAAATATTATAATTTGAAAAAAACTTCTTCACTTGAGCAACTAGTGGTTTGTTTGAATAAAAAATACAACATGACCGTATTATTTTATTATAACCTTCTCACTTGATCGAGAATGTATCTGAAATCACATATCAAGTAAAATTGTTTTGTTTCAACGAAAATTATGTAAATATAAAATTCTTCAAAAACTCGTTCAGTACAAAACAATCTTAAAAGACCTTAATGTAAAGTCAAAGTCAAGCTATGTTTGTATTTAATCAAAATTACAATATAATATAAATATCAAATATATAGTTAATTTTTCAGTAATATAATTAAATCACCTTCATAATTAAGACAATTTATCTTAAATTACTAAGAAATAAAAAACTAACTTTCATTATCTTCTCGCACAAAAAAATTCAAAATTTACAAAATTAACATATTATAATACTTATAAATTAATTAATAAAGATTCATCTACAATTTTCTTTATTTTCAAAAGTTTTTTTCATACTATATAAACTAACACAATACACAAAGACAATATTCATATTTCATTTATATATATATTTTCTTTATCATCTACATCATTAAATTTTATTATTGAATATCTCTCTTTTTCTCTCTATATATAACTAAATATAAACTGGTATATAATTGTTTTTTATAATGACATATATTTTTTTTTTCACATTGTAATCACTATATTTTGTTTCTCAAATAAATTAAAAAAAATACATGATTTAAAATCAAAATATTGTTTCAGAATAATGAAAGGAGGTTAAGATTACTTGAGGTAAAATCAAAGATCAAACAATGAAATAATATTGTAATTAATTAATTACTATCATAACCATCACAATAGTGTTTGAGGGGATCATGTATACATCTTAAATCTGAAATAGATTAACACAACAAAAGGTTGAAGTACCCATTAATGTCTGCCACTAATCTGAAACAGGTTGAATTTAAATTAATATTTATGGAGCTTTATGTATGGTTTTTCACTAACCAATCACTAATCTCGATATTACCTCAATAAGTGAAAAAGCAAACCCAGAACTGAGGCAACTTTTAAACATATATATTACTACGTACCATCTTATCAGGAAACAATTACAAATTAAGAAATATGAAAAGGTGTGGGGTGAACAATAAAAAACTAAGAAAGTAATATTATACGAATAAAAAGTATGGGCCACATGTAACAACTCGGGTCCCCACAAGATGCACTCCAGAATCAATTCTCATATCTCATGTCTCAGATTTTGCTAAATTAGTAAGTTCAACACAAAACCATGCTTAAACAATGCTTATTATGTTAAGTGTATTTTTTAAACAAACCATTATTAAATTGTTAGATTAGCAAATGCTGCTACTAATAAAATGCAATTAAAAACTAATAGTTTGATTATTGCTATGGAAGTTTTTAAGGTTCAGTGGGTCACTCTTTCTCCGTCAAGAGTCTAATCTATCATTTGAACCAAGCAATATAAAACACTTCGTTAAAACAAGATATATAATAAAAACTAAATTTATTTTACAAGGTAAGAAATAAAATGAATAATTATTGACCTTTATTGTTTCTTCAACAGGATCTGTGTTTTTAATAAAAAAAAATAAAAAAAGTGAATTAATGTAAACCGTCAAAAATCGCTTTCGTCCTTTAGCTTCTTCTCATTATTCGGAGAAACGCCTTATCTTGCTTCATCCTTCACAGCACAAAGGCAAACAAACAACAACAACCCCAGTTCCAACCCAAACCCACCGCATACTCTTGATCTTAAACATTATTAATATTTTAAAAGTGATAAAAAAAAAAGAAAAAGAAAAAGAAAAAGAAGATATACCAATTCATTTCAAGGAGTGATTCATTGTTAAAAAAACAAAGGCAACAGAAATTAAGTTCTAAAGAAAGAAATCTTCACTTATTATGCTCGACTGCTTCAAGAGTAAGTTGTAGTTTTTGCTTCTTGGTAACTTTTTTTTTTTTTAGGAATTTAATTACTAATTTTGTTTGAACTCAACAGAAGTGAAATGAGTCACTGCGTTCCAGATTTTGAAATACAAATGGACGATGACGAAGAATTCCCAATTCCCGTCTCAAAGAAACCCTCCATGTAACTCTTTTTCTCTTCACTCTTATTTTCAATTTCTTTGTATTTTTTGTGCGCTGAAGTGAATGCGACGACTATTAAAACAGGCAAAACGACAACATCATGGAACTGTTATGGCAAAACGGCCAGGTCGTGATGCACAGCCAAAATCATCGACCACTCCGAAGACCGCCGCCTCCGTTGATGTCCGGCAGCGACGGCGTTAATCTGGCGAAGGAGATTCGACCACCCGAAGCAGGAAACTACAGTAACCAACACCTGTTCATGCAAGAAGACGAAATGGCGTCGTGGCTCCACTATCCAATCCACGAAGATCCTACTCCCTTCGATCATCATCACGGTTTCTGCGCCGACATGCTCTACCCGCCGCCAAACGCTACTGCGAGCCAGAGTAATAACAACGCAGCCATGCAATCCTCCCTTCGCGGGACGGAGCTTCGGCATCCGCCTCCTCGGCCGCCGATTCCGCCGCGGAAGACGGTGCCGGCGGGATACAGGATGCAGAATTTCGCTCACTTCTCGAAGCACGGCAATGCGTCGTCGAGTTCGAAGGCCACTGCGGCACAGCCGACGGTGGTGGATTCGTGCGAGACGCCGGTCGCTGAGCACGCTGAAACAGGCCGTGCAAGTGTGGCCGCTGCTGCCTGTAAGGCGGCGGAGTCTGACGGAAGGGAGACAACGACGGCGACGTGCGATGTGACGGTGACGTCATCTCCTGGTGGCTCCAGCCGGAGCGCGAGCGCGGAACCGGTTCAGAGGGAACCGGACCGGAAGAGGAAGGGAAGAGAACCCGAGGAATCTGAGTTTCAGAGCGAGGTGAGTGAGTTGACTCGTTTTGTTTTTTTCTTCTTGAACTCTCACACGTTCCATATGCTTAGTCTTGACTATCGTGCGCCGGGGAAGTGACGTGGGTTTACGTGAGCACGCTCCCCTGCATTCAATTCAACGTCTATCCAATTACTAATCATCAAACTTTCGGTGTGTGTGTGTGGACATGACTTTGGTGTCGGTTCTCTACGGAAACCCTCAAACGACGCGGTTACACACGGTGATGCCACGTGTATATTGGAAGATTCAAAACTCATAACCAAGGAGCATGGTGGACGGAGTGGCTCATGTGCATATTTTCACAATTTTACTAAATAGCCTATACTCCTTTGATGTTTTGAAAATTGACCCAAAAGAAATATCTCTATTAGGAAGTACGGATGTCAAAATACAAAGGTATTACTATTAAGCTATTAAGCTGTCATGATACTGACCGAACCTGATGAGTTTGGTCAAAATTTCTATGCTTCAGTAACAGTTACGCAGGAAACTAAGATAAAAAAAAAAAAAACTAGACATGTGAAAAGCGTGTTACACGTTGATTGATCTAGGGACGACATGACATGATGCATTTTCCACTCCCCAAATGAAAACCAATATCAATTTCACGCGGATGGAAAACGAACAGAACGGGATGAAATCACCAAACCAATGTTCAACACCCCCGAAAAAACTGTTCCAACTGATTAATATAGCGTCGTGCTTTAGTAATTATACTTGTTGATATTGGTTGCTTGTTGTTTGTTTGAGTTGTGATAGGTATATATAAACTTCAATAGTGGGAATGTAATGGGGATGCAGTTATAAGCCACGTTACGTTATTTCAATAGGTCTTATTAAACAAGAATTGTCTTTTAATCTCTCTCACGAGGAGAATCATAATTATGATTTTGCTAGAGTAAATTGCGAGGTAAAGTGCCTATGACTAAAAGATGACTTGGACTTGGTTGTGAAGTGTGACGGGGAAGGGCAATAAGTAGAAATCTTGGGTTTAAGTTGTGGTTTTCTCAATTTTACCATAAACAAGGGGGAACGAGACGTTGTACGTAAAATGTTGGTTGCTTCCCGTGCAAACAGACAACTGGACATTTACGTCGGAACAGATGAGACGGATCAGTAGTTTAATAGATAATGGCATATTTGTTTACTCTTTTTTTACATTTTGCAATCTGTATAAATTTATGGTATATGCTGCATCTATATTCTTATCTCCATTGGTCTCACTTCAAAAGGACGTCGATTTTGAATCTCCGGAAGCTAAAAAGCAAGGGCGTGGTTCTACATCCACTAAGAGATCCCGTGCTGCAGAAGTCCACAATCTCTCAGAGAGAGTATGTATAACATCGATCAGTCCTTCAATTTTATTCTGTTTTCCTCATTTTCTGAAGTATCCATATTTGCATTTTTCATGCAGAGGCGTCGAGATAGAATTAATGAAAAAATGAAAGCTTTGCAAGAACTTATACCTCGATGCAACAAGGTTAACAGGATTATTAAATTTCCCCGTACTTTTTTTTTTTTTCTATTTTAGCGTGACAGTATTTTGCATTTACTTGCTTCCTCACAGCTCTTCCAAAATTTTATTCCTTTTCTGAATTTGATAGTCTGACAAAGCTTCAATGCTGGATGAAGCAATTGAATATTTGAAGTCACTGCAATTACAAGTGCAGGTAACTGTTACATTCTTACTGAATAGTCCTTTTAGAGAAAACTTCACATGTTTTATGTGAAAGTCGCAGGATGATAGACCCAAAGAGTTGTATTTGGCATTGTTTTACTTAGATGAAGGATTTTAGTTTTATTAATCAAAGTGTACGCATGTTTTACAATTGCGTCTCTCTATCACCAACATACTATATCTACTGGTTATATTATATACTACTCATATGTATTAACATTCCAAGGTAATATACTATCATTTGTAACAACAGAATGCAATTTATTTATGCAGATGATGTCCATGGGATGTGGCATGGTACCCATGATGTTCCCTGGAATGCAGCAGTATATGCCGCCGATGGGAATGGGGGTTGGCATGGAAATGGGAATGGGAGTGAACAGACCGGTAATGCCATTTCCGAATATGATAGCTAGTTCAACATTGCCAGCAGCAACTGCAGCTGCTCATTTAGGACCGAGGTTCCCTATGTCTCCTTTCCATATGCCCCATGTTCCTGTACCTGATTCATCCAGAATGCAAGCACCAAATCAGTCAGATAATAATATCCTTAACGCACTTGGTACACAAGATCCAGATCAATTACGTATCCCAAACTTCACAGATCCTTATCAGCAATATCTCAGCCTTCAACAGGTGCAGTTACAATTAATGCAGGTATTCCAGCCACCTTTACATATCATCTTCTTTGGTGCATCATCGTAATATTATACACTAGGAAAACTCAGTTGGTTACCGAGACACGTCCCAAACAGCCTAAATTACTATCGTAATACCCTTCTTGGGGTGATATATGTACTGGAAAAACTCTGTTGGTTTCCAGTGCACATCACATACGGGCCAAATTACTAATCATCCACATTTTCAGAAAGTTACCATTTTATATTTCTGTTATCGACTCGATTTTATTCTTAGCACCCTAACTGGAAGGTTGAGAAAAAGAAAAAGTCGATAGGATTGAGAGTATATCTTTTTTTTTTTTTTGGTTAAGTCTTTTGTTTTTTGCTTTTCTTAATTCGGCACAAAAATGCAAACTTATGAATTCCATTTGCGTATGTGGAATCAGGCAATGAACCAACCAAATGTGAGCAAGCCTAGTACCAGTAGTGGTAAAGAGAATCCAGAAAAACATCATTCAGGTAAATTGCTATTCTAGTCTTCCAAATTTAATTTAATATATGAAAAACATACTCCAACAAACTCATTTGAATAGCATGATATTATACTATTATATTATTATATTGGGTTGTGTTTTTGACAAATATTGTTATCAACGTACATTCACCTTTAATATATTTATGAAAGATACATGCTATTTTTGATACCCAATTGGACTGCTCTTGGCTTTAGATCAAGGTGGTTGTACGATTTTAAGTATACGCCAAACATGTTTTCGTACTTCATATTTTATATTAGTCATAATAATATTTGTTAATAAATTACCCTCTTTGCCTTTAAAATATATCTATACTTTATTTACTTCTGTCTAATCTTTAAAATATAGACTCCCTTAATCGAGAGAGATAAATATGAATTACAATTTAATCTATAAAAGAAATTTGTAATAATGGTGATTAATTATTGTGTCCCAATGATATTTTGTTTTGTGCTGATTATTAATTTAATACTTTTAAGTTCCTCTATTATTGACTAGAAAATTTACTGTGTTTTTTTTTTTTTTTGTATTCTAAGCTGATAAAATTGATTGTGAATATTCAAAATAATCATAATAAAAGTCATTGGCAAAATTATCTATTTAAGTTACAAACAAACAGTAATGTTTTAAACTGGTTTCGATAAAATAAAAAAATAAAAACAAAATTGCTGAAGACATACATTTAAAATTTGAAAATTTAATCAGATTTAATAAAACAATATTTTTTAATATAATGAATATCTAATAAATTTGATAATAATAATATTTTTTATAAAAATATAATTATAACAGTGATCAAAGTTGTTATTATGAATATTGTAAGTTATAATGAAGATGAAAAATATAAAATATAATAAAAAAGAAAAACAATTAAAAAATATTTTATTTTTTATAAAAAAATTATGTTATTTTATTTTATTAAAATTTATTTAATCTAAAAAATCATATCATTAGTTTTGTATTTTTTTAATTTTATATTAATTAAATTAAAATCTGAATTTCTAAAAATAACAAATAGATTTTTATAAAAATTGGGATTGAACTCGTTAAACCAGATAATCCGATAGAATTTTCCAGAAGACTCTAAAATTGAGGCATACAAAACACGAATGCATCCTAAAGAGAGGGGAGTGGATGGTTTCAGAAAGAAGAGGAGGGGATGGTAATTTAAGTATCTTTGAGACAATTGTTATTTATTAAATTTGTTACTAACTCTGTTTCATAATGATGAACATTGTAAATTTTTTCTTGATATTCAGACGAAACATGATTGGTTGATATTAACAATCTAGCGATGAGAATTCAAGTGCTGCTCCCTATTGGATTGCTGGTACCCGTAACTGTCACGTCAGGAGATTGTAAGTCTTTTAAAGATAGTACCAAACAGGAATGTCTATCATTGACAATGGACTTTGTGCTCATTGCAGGTTAAGCTTTTGCGGCACCTGGACAAAAGCTGCTAAGCGGTGTACTAGGCGAGAGCTAGTAACAAGCTAATCTGTAAAACGGCTGACATGTAAATTATTTTCACCTTCCCACCCACTATTTCTGTCCCCTTTCTTATACTCTGCACTTTTTACTCCACTTAAAGTTCATGCTATTTTACAAATTATTTGTTAGGGGAAGTGTAGTTCTTTGTACACTTTACAATAAACGTCCAATGTCATCATCCTTTTAGTATTGGATTGGATTTAAATCCTGTTCTGCTCCCTATTTTCTTTTGTATACCATTTTTTCACTGCTAGACACTTCAGCATCATATGGATGCTGGTTATCTGTAATGGTAAATAAGTGAAAATAGCTCCTCATTTTCATGACTCCTGCCACTATTCTTCCATGAGAAGCATGTGCAAACCAGACAAGAATAGAACAAACAATGAATATACAAGTAGTAACACAACAAATTTTAAAATTTATAGTGATCTATAATATAGAATTAAATAAATATTAACATAAAACATCACTCATACAATAAATTTAACATTTGCGTAGTTATTATGCTTATTTGTATTGTCACAAAATTTAAAAAATAAAATAAGTTTGTAAGAGGTATTTGAAGCATGATAAACGTACTCTGTTTTTTGCTGAAACAAACATTCACTTTAATTTAGTGTATCTCGGATAGAAGGAAGAAAAAGAAAAAAATAGTGATACGATAGAAACGAGAGAAATAAAAAGGAAATTCAGAAAGATGGAAGATTAAAGTTGAGCATTTTGGTTTAATGAATAGAGCCACACGACAATCATTTTAGAGTACCCGTGTCCCCCCCGGAGATTGCATATCATCTATCTTGACTTGACTCAATTAAAGTAAGAAAATAACTAAATTATTAAATGCGCTTGGAACTGAGTTACAACTTTCAACCGAAGCAAAGATGCATTGACGTGAAACTTGCAAAGTGTGTCTTATGTTTGAAGTTGAACGCCCGCTTTCGTTTTCAAGCTCGCAATAATGTGAAAGTTCATTATTTCTCATACATAATATAGTCCACGCTATGCAGTATATATATATATATATATTGGGAAAGACTAGGGTAACATAAATTAAATGTTCATTATAATTTCTCATTCGTGGTCCACGGGTTGGGTTGCGCTCTTCACAAGAGATTGATAAACCGACCTTAAGTTTACAGCTCAATCAGTCAACTATTGATTACCCAAATTAACTAAAGCTTTACAATTTAAAATTTCAATGAAATCATATTGTCGTGTTAGCTATAGAAATTGCATTTTAGTAGTACTAGCATCTTCTCTATCTCCAATTATTAAATAACCTAGTTCACGTATCATGTCATCATCAATACGTGACACCACTTCACCATGACTTCTAATCCAGTTAAATGAAAATGTAACGCGAGATCTCAGAGAGCCGAAAGCAACACTTCACATATTTGATGTTAACTTGCAAAATCTAAGTATCAAAATCAATATGTTTATCAATACAATGCCTCAATTAAGATACAATTTTTTTTCATACATCAAAGGCTGAATCACAGGGAAAAACTGTACAAATGAAAAAGAAATATTAATAAAAAAACTTCATAGTTTGGAGGGCTTATCTGCTGCTCCTTTCATATTCCACAAATTCTCCTTTCAGCAACCAGTGCTTGCCGTTAGGGTTTGATGGTTGATAAAATCTGGAAACCAATGGAATAAAAGAAAAGCAAGGTTGAAGGTACTTGACAACTTGAATTTATCCAATAACTCAACCCTATCAAGGTTTTGCAGGAGCAACATATTTATTACCTTGTCAGTGAACAAGCGAAATGCCTCCTCTGCCATAGCTTTATCGAGTTCCTAACAAAGAAACACAATTTAAATTAAATTTCTCCGTAACTCTTCCTGGGTGAGTATTAAAACTAGTAATGGTGAATAAGTCTCAGTAAAAATTCTATTATTGCTAGGGAAGCAGCTAAACAACCAAAACATACAACAGAGGTGAAATTTTCTAGAAAATATAGAGACGGGAAAATGGAAAGCTCTTACGTTCTCTGCATTTGAGGAAGAATCAATACCGCAAATTAGTTCTTGAAGGGCTTTATCATTCAAGGCATCTCGAATCTCACACGAAGAGGCTGCAGCAAAAGTACAGTTACAATTATTATGAAAGTTTAACCAATACCATGGTTTCACCACTGTAATTTTGGTATTTTGTTTATTTATGTTGGACATTCTTATATAGTTATATTTTTATATACATAAACATATACCTATGGCATCCAGTTGGAATTTTTGCAACACCTCACTTGTCTCATCAACAACCATTGGCTTTTCTTCAAGTGATTCTGAAACAGCAGCTGATGAGCAATAGGGAAACATTAGAATCAGATCACCAAAGTGCCAACGGGCAATGAAAATGAATTATTAAATGAACACGCCAAAAATCACAAGTTGATTCCATACTTAAAACATTGTTGACTGCTTTAGATTGATGGCGAATTACAGTGCACTTCCAAGAGCATATCATAAGTTTTTCTTAGAAATAACAAATGTACCTATCCGGACTTAAACTAAGCTAAAAGACTAAGTTAAAGATAACTATCTGAGATAGTCGGCATCTCTCTTAGACATTAGGAGATCAAGATACTTAGACGGATAAAATAAGAATGAATATTCCATAATTCTTAGACATATATTACCTTATAAAAGGTTTGATATCTATTTCATTCGATACAAATATTTTTCTCTAAAATCACATTAATCACTTATTCATTCCATATCGACAAGTCTTTCTAGGTGATTTCCCCCTCTTCATAGCATACATCAGAACAGCTCGAATGTTACCTTATACAGCTTGGAGACTATCTCGAAGAGCTCGGTCAGCTCTTTAATTCTAGATAAGAACAACAAATTTTTAGGTACATGGAAGATGTCTACAACAGCATATATTACAAGCCACTTAAGTTTCTTTCAAATGTAAAATTGAATTTTTAGGTAACATTTCTGCAGAAGAAAGGTAAGGTTGTCATCGAATCAGCTCCTTGCTAATACAACCACAAGATAAGGCTTCCTAGCATGGACCTTATGATGGGTTCGACCTTTTCCTAAACCCCATCTGTCAAATAAACATTACAGCACAAGGATGTTCTTCACTTAAGCGAACACAGTCAATATGACAGAAAAGAAGAAAAAAGGAAAAGACAATCCTCATCTTAAATGATGGAATGGAATGACATGAGCGTATCAATATAAAACTACAAAGTCCAAAATCTGCCATGGGAGGGGGTATCAAGGAAAATCAATCATTAGGTAGAGACTACCTCACTAAACTATCTACGGCGTGAATAAAGCTTACTTGTTGTGGCCTCTGAAGGTTGCGGCTTGACACATGGCAATTCTGCAACATTGAAGTATGTCTGATCAATTCCAGAATCGAGTAAATGGTTATAGTATCAGGCTCCAGGGTGAGAATTTCAATTACCCCCACGAACAAGCTAACATGAAATAGCCCCCAATTTTGATTGGTAAAAGTCAATAATAAAGAACCATGCAGGTCAGCATGTAGTACTCAAGCAGCAAAAGAAGATACTATAAATATTTTCCATTTCATTGACTAGGGAACCTTCGCATTACATCAAACATGAAACGTGCATACAAACAACATGAGGAGCCCATTAATAAAAGGCCATACCTTTGTGTTTCTTGAAACAGACCAGAGAACAACTGCAACCAGAAGGAACAACCCAACAATTTTCAATAACAAAATTAACAAAAATAAGCTTGAAGGAAGAAAGTAAAAGTTGGGATTTTGCTTACTAAGGTAAGTAGCATGAAGGGCATTTATACTTGGACGGAGCTTCGTTGCAGACTTGACACTGTCGAGGACCCATTGTCAAGAAAAATAAAAAAAGGGTCCCTAAAACGGAAACAGAAGCGCTTATTTGTGCTTTATATGAAACTGAATCGCATAAAATAGAATGGACTATTTAAATGGAAAAGACAAGGGTTGATGTTCTCACTCATTCATCACTATGAAAAAATTAGAAAGATAACCGCCAAAATCCCAGCCAGGTGAGCTGGTCCGTCAAGTCCAGATGGGCCGAGGGTGTGGCCTGCGTCATCAGCCAGCCCACATTAGCCGGCCCACCCAGTTTTTTTTTCTTTTAAAAGCTCTGCTGAAATAAAAGTCTCAGTGCACCAAATCCAAAGGCAGAACAGTGAATCTGTAATTGGTTTAGTATTTTTTTTTCATTTAAATTAAATATTAAAATATTTTTACTATGTTTTATAAAAGAGAAAAAAATATTATATTATTATTTTAATTTGATTAATTAAAATTAAAATATTATTAATATTTAATATATTATTTTATATAAAATACAAACATGAAAAATAAACTTCGTGTTATCATATTTCAAATATGCGTTCATACATAGAAACCAAAAACGGAAAAATGGTAAATTTCGAAAAAAGTATTAAAATGGTTCAATTTAATAAACTGCTAATTAAAAAAAAAAGGTACTAAAATGGTACAATTTCATAAGCTGCTAATTAAAAAAAAAATATTCAAATGGTGCAATTTAAAAAATAAATTACCTATTTAGATCAGTTTTAAACCAAAGATTGAATCTCAACTCCTCTTATTCCTTAGTACTTAATTTAGTATTCTCATAAGTCTCCTATTACATAAGAGTATGAGACCTTTTTTTTTTGTTTTTAACTCATCCATGTTTTTAAGTGACAAATTAAAGTTTTAAAATAAATAAATATCTCACATGTAAATGGATGAATACTCTAATAAAAATTATTTTTTTTTCATTTATTATTATAGTATTTACATATTCTATGGTTAACTTACTAATATATTTGTTATTGTATAATGTGAAAAGAAGATTTATAAACGAAAATATACAATGGTTCGAATGTAATAATCAAGTGTGTACATAATTTTTTTTTTTTTTGCAGTGTAATGTAAATTTACTATATTCATAATGTTTAAAAATATTTCCTTTCATTTATTTTTTTTATTTTTTTCATATAAGTGATTTACCACACAAATCTACTATCCATGCACCTTATCATTATTAAAAGAGTGATGATATATTAATATCTAGCAGTAATCCTACATTCATTTAACATGATTTTATTAATACAATAATAAAAAAGTAATGATTGATAACTTCGTTATTATTATATTAATAAAATCAAATTAAGATTGCCAAAAGAATGATTTTCTTAATTAAAAATAAAATTAAAATTGTATAATTTTATATTATGTCATTTGTTAAACAACTTGACTTTTATACCTAATTAATATTTGAAAAATAAATTACAAAAAATTTCTTAATTTTTACTACTACAATAGTTTTTAAAAATTACTATATTGATTTTATTTATACATTACATTGTTTTTTCTTAAATATTTTAAAAATATTATATTAAACTACATAAATTAATTAAACTTATATTTTTTATTTAAAAAAAACGTGTAAAACTAGATCAATGTAATTAGTAATTTGAATTATGAAATTTCATTCATCAATCTGATCCACTGAAAAACGGTAACTGGTTGGAGCTATTATTTAACAGCTTCCCTTGCACCTTCTTTGCACAGAAAATGACTAAATGAAGAAAGTGAAACAAAATCACAACCACAAGGATGATTATCCAAACCGTAGAAAAAGACATGGTGGTGGTATCAACCGTGTGAGCAATGTGATGGGGTGTCACCAATCGCTGCGCGGAAACGTAGGTGTGACCCATGGAAGAAAGTGCCAAGAACAAGGCAATGATCAACATCCACATCATGGGTTTGTTGTCAAGCCGAATCCCGCTGATGAGCATCAACACCACAAAAAGAGAAGAAAAGAAGGAGATAGTGTTGAAGGTCATGAATGTTACAAACCCTTCATGCGAAAAATCATACGCCAAAACTGCAGTGCCTGCTTTACAAATGCCATAAGAAGTGCAGTTGAGTCCACTAGAGGATGTGTCTTCTTGCCAAACCCCACCTGGTGGACTTATTGCTGACTGAAAAGTCATGGTCGCGATTACGGTGGCCACCACCATCAAACTCCCACGTTTCTCTTCTATCCAATTAGGTCGGTATTGTAGGTACTTTAACCATAGGGTATCCCAGAGTTTGGTGAGTTGAGTAGGGATAATGCTTGGTGATGATGATGATGATGAAACTTCTTGTTGTGTTGTAATGGTTTGAACTCCAGCGTCGTTTAACATGTGTTCGATTTTTAGGGTTATGAAATCTCTTGGACCGCGTTTCAATACCTCAAAATTTGCTAAATCTGGCTCATTTAAAGCACTAGCTGTTGTTCTCATTTCTGGGAGCATAAGTAAGTATTTTATGGTCTGCAAAATTATGAAAAAAACCAATCACTATTGTTTTTAATTTGTTTCCTCAAAATAATGACATGAACAGGATATAGTATTTGTAATGTCAAATCATGTTTCACTTGAATTACTTAAGCCCGTGGATGTATTAATCATGCAAGAAGTATAGAATCTTAGAAAAGTTGGTAAACTTAATTAATATATATGGAAGAGTCATTATAAAATTATACACTAATAACACCCAACATAGTCAATGATAATCTTAAGCTTGCGTGTTATTTTTCATTATAAAATTAGTTTTTTAAACTTATTTTAATAAGCTTTTGGGTTTAATTAATGAATTAACTCATAGAAAATATGGTTAATTAAACTATTTATCTAAACACGCGTTAGGTAATAATGGTACCTTAACTTGTTTGAGCCTCACTGCTAAATGCAGAATTGTGTTACCCTCTTTGTCTGTGGCAAGCAGAACTCGTTGGTTCATTGTTGCTGATTGCACAATGAATTTCAAGGCCTCCAAATGGTTATACATAACACACAAGTGCAAAACAGATCCATCATCATTGATATGATGAATGGAGTCGGGTCTGGCTCTGGTCAGCTCCTGAATAGGTCCTACGCGTCCTCTCATTGCAGCCAAGTGCAGAGGAAGCATGTCATCTTTGTCCACAGCATAGCAAACATCAGGGTTTGTCAGCAAAAGTGCTTTCACAACCTCAGTGTGCCCTTCAGCACAAGCTAGATGAAGAGGGAAACGTCCTTCGGAGTCAGCTTCACTAGCTAAACTGGGTTTTCTTTTGACAAGAGCCTCACAGAATTCCAAATGTCCAAGCAAAGAGGCTATGTGTAATGGGGTTTCACTGAAGGGAGAGAGTGAAACTCTATTCAAAATAAGAGGGTTCCTTTGGATCAGGGTGTTTAGAGTACTTACACAACCATTTAGTGATGCTTCATACAGTGTTGTTATTGTGTGATCCTCTAGAGTTGGAGTTGTCTTCACCTCCATCGTTGGAAAGGGTAACCAAATCTAATATCTTTTTTAGGAAAGCCCATGAATTGGTTGTATATATAGAAGTAATATGCAGCAGATAGACGAACTAACCCAAACCCAACATACAATCCGAGAGACATGACCAAAATTAGGAAATAGTCTCTGATGTTGATACTAAATGAACCCAGTCAGTCAATGTGAAGGCTCGAACACACAAACATTCATATTGCAGAAGATTCAACACAGCTAGTCAAGGTATTTTGTTAGCAAATCAACTAATGTTTTTCATACTCTTGAATCTTATTTAATCTTCCGCGAATGTTTATTATTCAATCAAAGAGCTTAGATATAAAAGAGAATACTAGGAGAATCAAAATAAAACTTGCATGATAAGGAACCACCTGTTGGGGAACTTCAAGTAAAATTTAATATATAAATAAATATTATAGCTGTATATTATATATACCTATGAGGAGAAGGAAGCAACATCGTGTTTTACTTAGCATTTTGGAGATCGATGATAAACAGTGGTACGTGTGTGAAAGGGTAGAAGCAAGGTCATGTTAAATTTTGTCATTGATGGTCAAAAACGGCATTTATGACGTGCGTGTGAATTTGTCAAACCATGATTCAACAGAGTGTTCGATTATTGACAATTATGCTTAGTTAAGACCAAGCAAGGATTTGGATGTCCCAATGTCAAGGCCAATACTTTCTGGTTTCATCTTTTCAATAATTTGTATTCCTTTATAAAATACATAGAAAAATAACATTTTTTTTCTCATTTTTTTAAGGTTTGTTATTTAATATAAAGGGTTTCAGTTCAAATGAATTATGGATTTATAGTTAATTCCGCAACATGGGATCAAACATGTCAACATTTATCTATTTTTATAATTACTATTTAAATTTAAGATTAGATAACTTGGTGTGAATCCAAACTTGTCCTTCCATAGCGCTCCAAATTAAAACATGAAAAGTATGATCTCCTTAGGCGAACGGATCCTATGTATTTTCCTCATCGTCCTACCCAAATTTCTCTTGATCAAATCCAGCTCTCCTCTGCACAAAGGTAAGAGAAATATTGTGAATCTCAGCTTAATGTACCCTACAAAAGTTAAGACACAGTCCTTTCAGTATGAAATAAATATCTACAAATGATTCCAGAATTCCCTTTCCAAAATGAAAAAGAATGTGCTTTGATTGTTGTGAAGTACAGGAAGAAATGCCCATTTTTTTGGCAGTGGTGAAGTTGGTTTCATAGAGCGAGAATTTCCCTGTTTGATAGCCATATGGGGATATTGTTGTCTTAAAGAATCTAACATGTATATGTCTCCTATTATCAAAATAAAAGCTGTATACCCACTGCAATGGGCTAAAGAAATAAGATTGTGATAACTAATACTGCTAAATTTGAACAAGAGGTGTATATCTCACAAGCTTCACCACCGTCGCAGAGAAGCAAGATCAGATTCAATGAGAAAAAACTAAAACAGAATGCGGATTTTGGGCAGGTTACTAGCAATGCCACGTGAATGATGTTAGCAACTAAGATGGTGTAGTTTAATCTGCAATCGTTACTACCTTATATCATCAATAATCCCCTTGAGGAGTTAGGTAATAGAATATAGGAATTAATTATCTAAATTGCAGCACTGCAGTTTTCCATAAGGTGCCCATAAAGCCAAGAGAAGTAATCCGTTACTAGTCTAACTTATAACTAGGAATGCAAATCAAACTGAACTCTCAAAAGCTATAAATTTCAGAAAATTATATCAGATTGTCCCTCTAAGAGTTTAAACAGCAGGTTCTCGTCAATTGAGCTTTATAATTCAACTGCAGTAAAGTACATTCTTTATAAGCATGTTCATCTGTAACATGAATAAAAATAGAATATGGATCAATTTCCAAACTCAATGAAATTGGAAGAAAACTATATATTGAATTAAAATCAATCATAGTTGAGATTCAAAGCCCCCCAAATATAAATGACATTTGTTCGCATAATACAAATGAATTGACATTTGTTCGCGTGACTAGTACATTAAATAAAGGACAAGAGGACTGGGGATAATGGAGGAACTATTTCACATATACAGCCCTTCAGGCACCCCTTCTTTCTTCTTAAACATCACTTTGTCCTTGGCTTTCTTAAAGTCGGCATGAGTCACCTAAACGAGACAACAGAAAAAAGTATTAGTAAGAATATATCATAAATTGGAAATAAAAACCTTCAAAAGATATAAATATACGATACAAAACCAAAAAGAATACAAACAAATGAAGACCTTGATAGGTAAAGATAGGATTTCCTTCAATAGCAAACAAATTTGACCCAAGTTCAGCATGCTCGTGAACTTACAATACTTACTTCTTAAGAATGAATAGCCATCACTGGAATAAAAACGCGGCATCTTTTTGTTGACACTGATTAAAGAGGCAACACGCAATACTTCCACGGTATGATTATAAATTAAAACAATTAATGTACATTACTTATCAGGTCCTGCATATTTCTTCAGTGCAAATACGACTAAACTTCAATAATTCTTACCTTGTTTCAAAAAGGAAGAGATGGAAAAATCTGTGTCTTTTAAGAAAAGGCACACCAAACTTTCATCTCATCCCGATTAATCCTTAAACTCCTATTATTAACTTAATATAATAGACCCTTCAGTTCACCATTAGAAGTTTAAAAACCAATTGATAGAAGAAATTATTTGCGATGAACTGTTAAATCTCAAGATGTCTAGTTGCAAGGTATAGATTTTAGGATGATTGTACACTCTTTTCCCTAATAAAATAAAACTAAAAGGTTTTGTTTTGTTTATCATTAGTAACTTATCCCCAAGTTAATAGGATCGTTTATTATAAAAATAGTAAAAGTTTGAGGACAGAATAGAACAAAAAGAAAGTTCAAGGAATCTAAATCTGCAAAAAATACATAGTTTAGGATTGTTACATGCTCTTTTCTCTTCTTTTTCTATCTTATTTCTTGTTTTGCTTTCTTTTCATACAAAAGCATTAAAGGACGTCAAGCACATTCTTTATTTCCTAATATAAAAAAATTATTGATCAGCAAAGCCGCCACAAGTATACACATACAAAACAACTCCTACATGAATAGCATTCTTCTCAATCCCGTACTTTCTGTCTAGATTCATAGAGAGAGTTGAGGTATATTATTTTCCATTTCCCTGGAAAGATTTCTCGTATTGCAACCACACCCCCACCCCTTTTTTCTGCCACTCATTCCCTCAGAAAGATTTCTAGAATTGCAAACTTTGGAGAAACCCAATCTGCAATAGTTTTACTTGGCTTAATATGTTCGGGTCTTATCAAAATGTGCTTGTAAAAACCAAACAACTTCAAGAAAACAATTAAGACTATTATTGCAACATCTAAACAATAAAGCCACAAAGAGATTTCTAACCTTCATCCGGCGTTCTCGCAGAGCAAGTAAACCAGCTTCAGTACATATTGCCTTTATATCAGCTCCAGAGAATTCATCTTTAGTCATAACAAATTCTTCCAAGTTGACATCATCAGCTAATGTCATCCTCGATGTGTGTATCTAAATTAAAGTATGGAAGCGATTAGTTGTATGTTTGAACAGTGCATGCATATTAAGATATCACATAGAATCCAAAGAAACAACATTGTGTGAATTTGGGTTGTTATTAGGAAAAATAATTGTTTCTTAAACAGCTTTCTAAGTGACACTTGAGAAAAAACTATTATTTTATTTCCCATGATTGCCCATTTGTTCAAGCTTAAAAAAGGTAATTCAGCAATATAAAACTACTGAGATATTTATTCGAGTGATTGTTTCTCATAATTTCTGTGTTCCAAAACAAGTTACTTATTTAGCTCATGCAAAAAAAGGAATGAATCAGCATTAATTTATTTTTTTCTTGTTACTTTTTCAAAAAATAACACAATTATAATTTTTCAAGCATTACTAAACACATGGTATTTTTATAGCCTCACAAATTAATCATGCCTACCTGGAAAATACGTCTCCTAGTTTTGATATCAGGAAGAGGAAATTCTATTTTCCTGTCAATTCGACCAGGTCGTAGCAAAGCTGGATCAAGACTTTCTATTCTATTGGTTGCCAGAATCACTTTTACATCTCCTCTTGAATCAAAACCATCTAACTGGTTCAGCAACTCTAACATGGTCCTTTGGATTTCACGTTCTCCACCTGAGTGAGCATCATACCTGTAAAAACATGTTTACTAGTAAGCTCATGAATGTAGGAAAATAATCCTTGGAGTTCATAAAAGTGATACAATACATCACTCTTCCACCCCCACCCTATCTTCATGACTGTTGAAATTGGGGTTTTAATTACCTTTTTGTACCAACAGCATCAATTTCATCAATGAATACAATAGAAGGAGAAAGATCATCTGCAACTCTGAAAAGTTCCCTCACAAGTTTTGGGCCATCTCCCAAGTATTTTTGTATCAATTCACTGCCAACAACACGTAAGAATGTTGCTGAGGTTGAGTTTGCCACAGCCTGAAAACACAAAAGGCATTGTCTCAGACCTGACAGCCCATATGTTCTTATAACATTAAAAGCAATAGCATTACAGGACCACAGGTAAGTCATGCTTACAACTTCACAGGTGAAGTATTATTTTAAGGAAAAATCAAATAATATATATGTGCTACGATTATTCAATAAAAGTAACTTGCCAGTTGCTTATTTCCATACAAATGGTTCTTACTTATTCCTAATAGAGTCTATAAATTTCTAATACAATATTAAAGTATTGTATAACAACCAGAAAGATTAAACAACTTTGTGATGGGATTTTGCATACTTTTTCCATAGTAATCAGTACACTCAATTGTATGGCAAGGCAGTGACAAAACATGGAATGGAAATATTTAAAAGCTAACACACACGAGTGAATACAGGAATAAAAAACCTTGTAGCATAAGTCTTCAATATCAGCGTAATAGTAGACAAGCAATCATATTTAACAGTGTCAGGTGTGCATGCAGGTATTTCAAATGACCATTTCATTTTAACAGAATAACATCCAATAACCATTTCCTTATGCCACTCAGTAACTCCTGCAAAGCATGACAAGAATCTTGGTCTGGACACAAGGGAGTTTAGAGGAACACAAATTGTTAGGCCTAGGTCCAAAAAAGCCACTCATATGGAATCTAGGAGGGTGGCTGGGTTCATGTGAGGGACAAACCTGCTATTCAACTGAGCTAGCCAATTTAGTTGGACTAACCATCATTATAAGGAGAAAAGGGAAGTGAGGAAGGCAGGTGGGGCGTATAAGGTTTTAGTACCAGCAAATAGTCTCTAAGGGGAGCTTGGCTCTGGTCAGAGACTCACAATTATTTCATGTACATTAGAGCAAAGCATTCAAATGTACATAGCATTGACTTATCATGGAGCATTCTCCGCACTTTAGCTTAAGGAAGCCTTTGGTACTGGGAATCTTTTATTCCAAATAAATCAGTTTCCTGGGAATAATATGTTTATGATCAATTATTACGAGAGAGTTTAGTAACTATATAGTCAACTATCACAGGACAGTTTTATTCCATTTATTGACAAATTAACATTTACCAAACATGGGAAACTTTTATTCGCATGTCACTTTCCTAAGAGTGTTAAAACGTTCCTTAATCAACATACCACCTAAAGATAAAGGTAGTGAAAAAGGAGAAAAAAAGGGAAAAGAAAATGACGTAACTCCATTAAAACAGCCCATATAAGAAGTAAAGGTTAATGCAAACCTTCGCAAGTAAGGTCTTCCCAGTTCCAGGTTCTCCGTATAATATGACCCCCTTAGGAGGCTTGATACCAATGTCTTCATATAGTTCAGGATGCGTCAGGGGTAGCTCAACTGCTTCCTTAATTTCCTGTATTTGGGCATCTAAACCACCAATGTCAGCATAAGATTCCAGAGGAGCCTTCTCAACCTTCATGACAGAGACCATTGGATCAACTTCATCTTGAAGAAGACCAACAACAGAAAGAACCTGATAGAAAAACCATACAAAATCATTACATCACCAGCATCTAACGACCTGAATCATACCAAGATACATGACCAATTCAATCAAGCAAATAACAATCGTGTCAAACAAATATCATGTTATGCTTTAAAAGAATATTTCAACCACAATTTCTCTCTTATCAGCTTCAGATGCTCCCGAATCACACAATTAAGCTCATTACTTCTTCATAAAAGATAGGAATGTGTCTTTACTTATGCATTACGTAAATTATTCACAAATTATCTAGTCCAACATCCTGGTGTCAACACCCGCAAACATACACACACACAAATAAAAAATTGAACAATCTAAGCATACATACCCCGTGACACCGTCCAGTTAAAATCCATAAATATAACCTAGATACAAGGTTTTAAAAACAGTCCATGACTGCAATTTTGGCTACAAAATTGAGGATTCGGGAATCTCAGTGACCGCAATCGTGGCCGTATAAACCACTTTTGTCTGCGATTTCCAACAAAACCATGGAAAAGCAACAAAAACTTGCCTGGATACAAAAATTCATACCATAACTTTGTTGTCACAAGATTATTATATGCTTCACGCACGTAGACGAAAAAGTCAAACCCTAGGCAACGAACTATTTCCATTAATTTCACACATTTCAAATCTACAATTAAACCACAAAAGTGCAAAGCTATTGAAACAAAACCTTATTATGCATCAAAATAGCACAGCCAGGCTCCAACTGATCCTTATCGACGAAAGACAATATTCCGACGTAGTACTCCGGGCCGACGGAGGAGGAAACAATGGCGTGGTTCTCGTCGATGAGTTCTTCGAGGTTACCGACGCTCATGGGAGAGCCTCGGAGATCGTCGACCTTGGATCTGTCTTCCTCGGCCTTCTCTTCCTGAGGTTTGAGGCGCTCCTGATTGGCCACGAACTCCTCCTCCATCAACAGGTAGTCCTTGATTCGCTCCAGCTTCAGCAGCCTCAACTTGCATTTTGTCACCGGTGTCACCGTCGGCAGACGTGCCGCCGCCTCCGGACCCTTCTGCTTGCGCTGTTTCCGCCCGACGCGGGTGGGCGGCGCCGCCGGCTCGAACTTCTTCTCCTTCTTGTCACCGCCGTCCGGCTTTCGGTCGCCCTGGCGGTTCATGCCGCCCGGAGTTCCTTGACCCATGGATTCCAAATTTGAAAAGGTGAAGAAGGCGTAGACACAACACAACGAGGGTTCACTCCGAACTCGGAAAAATAGTGTGTACTCTCAATCGTCTAGAATAGTCTTATACATATATAGTTTGTTTGAGTTTTCCTAATAAATAAATAAATTGTGAACAGGTATATTAATAATTTACAAAAATAGTTTATGTTTCGTTAAATGACATTGTTATCCAAAAAAATATTAATATGTGAAAGTAATTTTTTTAAAATTATAAAAATGTAGTTTTAATTTTTAATAGTGTTAAATATATGAGACATTTTAATTTTATTATTATAATATGACTGTAGAATAAAATTAAAATTAACCTTCTTATACTTTTGTTTTTTTTTCAATAAAATATTTATATTTTGTTTAACATGTTGCTATTTAATAGAAAAATATTATTCTTTTTTCGTAAATGTTATATTCTTTTGCCAATCTCTTATGATAATTGTAACTGAAAAACTATTTTTATATGAATAAAAATATATTTTTTTACCTAAGTCATATATAATAAAAAAATATATTTATAAGTTAAATATTAACGGAAAGGAAAGACAAGTATAGATGCGGTCGACATTTTTATTATTTTTTATTAAAAATATTAAAAATTATTATGAAACAAGAACTAGCTGAATTACGATAGAAATTTTAATTTTGATATAAGACATTTTATTTAAGATGTGTTAGTTTAGTTTTACAAATATGCTTTAGTGGAAAATTTGTGAAAGCAAAAGTACAAGAACGACAAGAAAAAGTTATGTTCTAATTTTAATTTTTTTTTCAAATATTTTGTGTGATAGTTTCTTCTAAAATTTGTTTTCAAGAAAAGGACAACAAGAATAAAAATTGAAACAATTTTTAGACTGGTAGGTGAATATTGTTACAACTATATCTAATTCACCCAAATTTTATTATAACACATTATTTTTTTCTCTAACTTTTTAAAAATTTATTTCAATTGTTTTTCTAAACGATATATTAAACGTTACTTCCAAGAATTTGTATGTTTTAAAGTAAGAAAATTCAATAAAAAAATATCAATTACAAAGTGATTGTAATTAGCTTTAAATATTGTTTACATATATACATAAAAAAATGTTTATTTAATCCAAAAATAAAAATTAAATATTTATTATTTATTATTTCTTTAAAAAATAAGTATTAGATTAGTATATTAAAAAAATAATTATAAATATATGAATATTATTAATTATTAAGATAAATGAATTGATTTTTTCATGACAAGATAAAATAGGTCTGATAGACTCCACCACCAGCCTACAAAATAGGAGATGAGTTTATGAATTTAACTCATCATTATGTTTCAGAGTTCTTATACCAGCCTACAAAATAGGAGATGAGTTTATGAATTTAACTCATCATTATGTTTCAGAGTTCTTGTCTATAAGTTGGTTGGTACGTTTAAAAAATATTTATATACTAAAATAAAAATAATTATAATTAAAAATATTATATTTATTTGTGTTATGTTATTAAAATATGTAAATATATTATAATTTAAATTATAAAATTTAATTAATTAAGTTTAAATTATTAATTTTAATTAATTATTATAACATATAAATATAATAAATTTTTAGTTTATTTAAAAATATAATAATTAAATAAAAATTAAAAAATTTTCATATAATTAAATATATATTTTTTTTAAATACATGTAAAAAAATGTATTGACAAACTGATTTATAGGCCCTTCAGTTCACTTTTTAGTAGAACGGATTAAGATTTATAATTCTTTATGATAGGTTAACTCGTCCCATTCTAATTTTTTTTATGGATTATATAAATAGGATGGACTGACCCGTTTTTTATCTACTTTAATGACATTTATTTTAAGATATTAGAGATTTACCTTTTATTCTCGTAGTTTAATTATTTTTTAATTTAATAGTTTATAATAACAATTTATCTTAATTATTACATTAAAAAATGTATCTTTCATTTAATAATTATAATAAATATTTTTATTTAATATAATTTAAATATTATGTATATTGATATGTGTGATTTATAAATAATTTATTTAAAAATTACTTAAAATTTACTAAAAAAGTTTGGTTAACTCAACTACTCTAATTATACATGTAATTAGTTATTATTTTGACAAAATCAAATTTTATTATAATTAAAGTTATACACATCAATACATAATTTAATACGTCATGAAACATAAAAATAATATATTTTTTATAATTGATTAAAAATTTAACAGAATAGTTAATAATACATAACGATAGGACAAAATAATTTAGCATACTAAATATAAATATTTTTAATAATTATTATATTAAGACATGTTTTATCCTTATATGAAAATGCATGTTTTATTTCTTCTTCTATTTTTATATATAATTTTAAATAGTTGATTTTATAAAAAATAGTGAATAAAACATTTTCTCACTTTAGGGTCGTCTTTTCATGATATAATAAGTAGTTTTTTACTATTGTAAGTCCATGAAAGATCACAATATATATTATCATACTTGTATTCTTTGTTATTGTACAAGAAGAATGGCAATAAAAAATTATATCTAAGTAACTAAGTTTCGTATTTTTTGTTTTTCAAAATATAACCTTTATTTGTAAAAGGTTAAAATAGGCATATACCTTATGTTATAGGTGGTTTGAGTGATGTTTTCTACTAAATTTGCTGTTATGGTTTAAATTTTTGTTAATAAATTTAAATTTCAAGAACTTATTTTTTTTAATTATATATATATATATATGGTTTGAGTGATGTTTTCTACTAAATTTGCTGTTATGGTTTAAATTTTTGTTAATAAATTTAAATTCCAAGAACTTTTTTTTTTTAATTATATATATATATATATATATATATTTTTTTTTTTTTCTATTAGAAAAGTTCAGTTTTCAGATATGTGTGTGAGAATTATGAATTAACAATTATACAAATTCATAACATATTATATGGATGGATTCTCTTATGTTTATTTATAAATATATAAATGCAAACTGTCTAAACTTCATTTTTTTTTACAATAGAATACTTAAAAAAATTTAAGGGTCTTTTAAATTCTTTTAATTTTTTTCCTATTAATCCATGAATACTAATAAATCAATAAAATATCCCTAAAAATACTTTTAATCTTTCATATTATTTTGCTTATAGCTTACAATCTTTTCCCACAAATTAATTATCTATTATATCATATATTTCCATAAATTTTAATTTCATCAAGCCACATAACTCAAAGTTTACAAAACACAAAAGATCCAACTCTACCACTCGCTTTAAAAAAATAAAACAAATAATCTCAATCATTAATGACAAATACAAGCACATATACAACAAATCATAAATCCCCAAGAATATAAACAGGTAATTTTCTCAATAAAAACTTCTTTCTTCCTCTTAATTAAGAACAAAAGAGTTTTCTAATTGAATTACTGAAACCCGAAGGTGATATAGATCATTAAGTTTTTGTACAAAACAAAATTTCATACATTTTCTTAGGCGAGCGATTTATTGTTACCGTGAACAAATAATAATGTACAAGATTAAAAAGCAAATATACTAGGAGACTAAACCCATTATTCGTGTGAAAAAATCGACTTTGGCACACTGTTTGAGATGTCAAACCCATTCAACAAAGTGAGTAGTTGCAAAATAAAATCATCACATCAAGGGACTAAGAGACAAAACCAAATATAGAAGTATGTTTTCTTTTCACACATTCAATTAACATTTAAGTGCAAGAAAATAGAGAAATTGTATCAAATGGACCTTATTTTATAATCCAAACGATGTAATACATCGAAGCTGACGGTATCTCTCTGCCTTAAAAAATTTAAAACAAAAGATCAAGCAAGCCAACCACCTCCAATTCAACGTCCAGGCTCCTGCTAAACAAAACAAAATAATTATATATGTATTAGCCACAAACGCAAAAGAAATAGGTAGTTACAGTGAGTTCATAAGTAATTTGGCCTTTTAACGAAAGAATTGTGGTTCGCCACCGACTTAGAACTATTTGTATTCTGTACATCACTGACTTAGCATTTGCACTAAATATAATGTATTTTGAAATATCCATAAATAATTTGATGTTTGAGATGCCAAGAAAAACTGATTTGTTGTGTAGTTAATTTCGAATGTAAAATTACCCCCTAAAAATAACGAGGGTTTCATTTTAAGGTCATGTTGGCCAAGTTATATTCAAAGGCCAGCAACCCAAAATTACTTGGAAGTTTTGGGGGTGTTTGATTTTGTTGTCTTTTTCATTACAAATTTCAGTAGTAAGTGCAAACATGTCACCTTGTTTTCCTAATGCTTCTTGTTTTCAAGTTTAGTAAAGAAAATGATGAAAATGAACATTCTTTGTTTTCAACAACTCCTTCAGAAAATTTTGAAATAAGAATAAAAAGGAAAACGAGAGAAATTTATTATAAATGGAGACACATTAACTGAAAATGAACATAGAAAAATATCCCATAAGAATGTCGATTAAAAGTGCAAAATAGATAAAAAGAAATTGGGACTTAGTAGTGTGATTCCTTCCCCAATACCTAGTCTGAATCAAGAAGATTGCAGATCATAGAGATGGGATGCTTCTAAGAATTACAGAAGAAGATTTGTGAAAGCAACTTTTCCAAACATGAAAATGTTTTGTAGCAAGATTACTGAAAGTCTAAAACCTCATAGGTGACATATACATGATAGTGCGTTTGGAAAAACAATTCTGCAAGGCTACAGACAACTTGATTTATCATGAACATGAACAGTTCAAATGATGTGCAAGATTTGAATGCAAACAGCAATCAAAGACATATTAAAGTTAGGAGACCTTTAAAAGGGATAATTATTCAGCTTTACCCATCCAACAAGGTAAGTTGCAAAGAAAATCCTGGCTTCAAGAGATCTAAAACAATGCAACCAACTAAAAAATATATTCTCTTTCACACACAGAATTATCATTAAGTGCATGAAAATTTAT